ATAAGGTTGTTAAATTCATTCATTAACTGTTCAACACTCCCATTATTTATTAATTGTGTTTCGTCTATTGTATCAAAGCAGAAACTATTCGGCTTATGTTCATGAATGACATTTTTCATAATTGATTTTTGTAATGTTGCTTCAAAATCTGAACTAATTGTATATGGATGATATTGCTCTGCACCTATGGAAAAATATTGTCTTTTTAATTTAGTGGGCATTGTTATTTTTTGTTTTTTATATATACACAGAGCAACATGATCATTATACTTTTCTTCTTTTTCTTAAAAATTTTCATATTTTTTCGTATTTTCTTTTATAATTTGTACAGGATAATTCATATTTAACATTTCATACTTCGATATATTATAATTGGAAGGTCTTTCTTTATTATCATTAGCAGGATTAAGTATATTTTCTATTGCATACTCAAAGCATCTAAGATTTTCTTGCTTCTCGCATTTAAATTTAATTTTAGTTTTTCTATTGTTAACATTAATGCAGCATCTTTTTGCTATAATATAATTGGGTAATTTAACATAAGTTCCACCTCGAAGAGGGGTATATTTATCGGACTGTAAATCAAGTTGAATAACTCTATCGAATGTAAACTTGGTGTTTTTTGCATTAAAGCTAGCAAATTTATTTAAAATGTTATTTTAAAATCTTTTGATTTATTTATAATCCCATCTTTCCTTTTTCTTGGTTGAGAAAAAATAATTTCATGAAAAGGAAATTGTTCGAATAATGACCCCATTTATTATGGGAAAAATTTTTATCAATATATTTTTTTTTCAGAGTTTTAAATTTGTGAGAGTTGCGAATGTAATTCATTATTTTCTCGTATTATTTTATTAATAAGTTTCTATAATTTCATATGCCATTCTAGTTTAAAATGTCTAGTCATGCATCGTTTTGAAACTTCTTTTAAACATACATCACAAGTAATTTTTTTATTTCGAAGTTTCTTACATTCATAGCACATGTAACTGATTCCATATTTTAATTTTTTTGCTTTAACAAAATCAGAATGTGGTTTATTGATTTGACACGAGGAACACTTTCTTTCCATTTATTAAAAAATTTTTTATTAAGTCTGTTTAAGAAGTGATTAGATCCATCTTTTTTATCCATTGGTTATGTGTATTATCAAAGCCTAGCCATTTAACATAAACTTGATTTCCTTTTCTTTTTAATATTTTTTTAACTAAATAGATGTTAGATGAAATTTTAGTTTTTTGTAGTTCTTGTTCATAAAAAGTTCCTTTAATCTCTTCACCTTTCATATCTTTAATATGATAATATGGAGGTATGTTTTTAAAAACTTTATCTATTACAAATATTTCAGTTGACCAATTAGGCGTATATCCTTTTTCAAACATATGCTTTAATTTATTAATTCTTACATAATCACACTTTCAATCGCGTCCTACGGACTAAGCCTTTCGGGCGCATCCTTCGGACTTAAAACTAGTAAACTGTCTGAGAAGACGTCTGAAAGACTAAGTATGAAGGATGCGCCTGAAAGACACCTGAAGATGCGCCCGAAAGGCTTAGTCCATAGGACGCGATTCAAAGTTGGTGATTATGTAAGGATTAATAAATTAAAGCATATGTTTGAACACATTAATTCTTTGAGTGATCTATTAAATCTTTCAACAATTGCAGCTTTTTTATCACTATATGTTGAATAATGATTAATTTCATTTTGTTTCATGAGTTTTTAAAAATCTTTATTATAAAATTCTTTCCCATTATCAGTTTGTAGATTTTTTGGTGGTGGTTTATGCGGAGATAGGTTTTTAAAACAAATACTCATTGCCTTGGATACGCTTTCTTCAGTTTTATTTTTAACAGGGATTGCCCAAGCAGCAATAGAAAAAGTATCAATAATTGTTAATAAATATTTATATCCCTTATTAATTTTGGATATTCCCTTTAAGTTACCCGAATCCATTTCAACAAGATCAGACTGCCAAAGATCATCGATTCCTAATGTAATAGTAGATCTTCTTG